CATTATTTTTAAGGATTTCAGGCACCACCTCCAACTATAGACACCATTTATACTCTATAAATATTTTCATAGTCCAATAATTGGGCAAGCAATTTTCACTTTAAAATAATTAGGACAAAACCACATTTTGTAATACTCTTATGCAATTATAATTTTACAAAAGTCGTCTCATTTAATTTCATAGAATTAATTGAGACTATCATCATTAATCAAGGTTTGTATAGTTTTCAAACCAAAATCCATGGGCATATACTGGATTTACAACTTACCGTATTGACACATAATGTATATGTCACTTACGGGATTGACGTACACCGTACATGCCGCTTACCGTATATGCACTTACCGTATTTGTATCTTACTGTATTTACTGCTTACTGTATTTACAGCTTACTGTATTTGTTGCTTGCCGTATTTGCAATCTACCGTATTTGCTGCTTACCGTATTTGCAGTATACTGTATATGCATATACCAGATTTGCATATATTGACCAAAAAGTCTCCGAAATCCAAACCCTTGTATGGATTCACTAAGATTGGAGCCCACTTCCAACAACATGGGTGGCCACAAAATCATACCTATTCATATGAATAATATTTTCAAATGTTCTCCAAAAAGGAAACACGTATTTTCCTTTCTAACACGTGATTGTCTACTAGTTTAATTATTGAACATGCACCTTTCCATTGAAAAGTCATGTCCATCCAAACATTTCCTCCCATGACAGTTACAAAATATATAATGGGACATTAAAATGTATTCCATAATTCGAGAGGAAATTACTAATTACATAAATTACAATCACAATCATAAATTGCGTTAAACATGTATTTAACGAACCTTTACTTCACATGCAATAATTTGGAGTCCATACCACTTCCAAATTAATTCATAGATTCATTTCCAATTTTTCGGGTTATGAACATAAAGACAACGAGGAAATTTCATGGTCGGCACGAAAAAATGAACAGACACACTCTTTCATTTAAACAATAATTATCACCATTTCAAGTAAAAGCATTCGACAAAATTATTCCAGATTTCACATACCCAATATATGCCACTGCAAACATGATGGTTCGGCAAATGAGAAATAATTTATATATTCAAAGCATTATACATGCGGTAAATTGCCTTTCCATTTTAACCATTAATACACGATATACACCTAAATGGGCATTAAGATGTTCACTGAACCGCGTGCACTTTTCCAAAAATTAATCAACTTCAAGTTTTGACTAAGTACATGAAGACATTGACAGCCATGCATTTAATATATGTTGGCCACCATTAGACCATCCAATTGCAGTAACTTACATATTAATACAAACCTCTAATGGCATTCATTCTTAGAAAAACCGACAACCCCTAGGATGCCAACCAGTTTTCATTTATTCGAAAAAGTAAATGAACTTACCAACTTTCCATATGCACGCAATGGTTGGAAAATACGCCATTTAAATCATAGCCGTAACTTTTGCATCTAAAATGAAGGCCACGTGCATTTGTCCAATTTCATCATATTACAATCAATATATTAAAAGGTGCTAGTAGAAGAAATTGGCAAATGAAATTGCCAAAAGACAGATTAACCAGTGACTAAATTTTATCCATTACCCACCATTCTTTGACCACAGTGACAATTTGAAAGATACATGTTTCTGGCAAATGAAGTCATATACCATCAATATTAAAAGTTGCCAGCAAAATTACTAACTTTTAAAATTGGAACGTTTGGGAATATTCCGAATTCACATGAATGAAAAACCCACTTCTGCTATAATTACTGCAAATGTTTCCATTGTTCTTATTCTTTAAATAGGCACGTTTTTCCATACTCATGTAGAGACTTTAACTTGGCAATGGAATGCAGAATAATCAATTTTGGATATAACCCAATTTGAACATATAAATAAATATGTTTCCTCAATTGGGCAATACGTTTGGCAAATTCTACATAGAATATAAAATGCACAAAAAGTGCCGAAATTCATCTTAAGATTGTTGGAAAATTTTACCAATAATTGTGCATATTATATTCATAAAAATCATGTCGTTGATTTGCATAAAATCGAAACGTAATTTCGACTTACCGAAATGGATTTGAGAAGCAAAGCAATAATTTACCGAATCTGAACGTATTAATATGGATTCATCCCTTTCGATTCTTGAATGAAAGTAAATCATTCTTTGGATCGAACCTCGCAACATAAACATGTAAACAATGTTAATCAGTTTCTGAAATCAAAGTATAATAAAAGAAATCAAAAAATGAAACAAGAGAATTCAAGTGATGAATTTTTGGCCAAGACAAATGTTGGACACTTTGTCCTTAAGATGAATTTGCCTCGCATCGATGCTAACAATTTTTCGACAATCATTTACCAAGATACGACGACCACGTCAAGCCGTAGGATCACTTCAAATGACTTCGACCAACGAATTCAAACGAAATTCCCTTTCCACCATGACCATGATTTTGATGCAAAATAGAATCACTTTTATAAAGTGTTTTATGCAACATGACATGAAAAAATAATTTATATGGGATCAAAATAAACATCTAAATGGTCCTATATATAGGAGTTGAAGGGTGGTAGGTGAAATGACACACCCCAAATTTTAATTTCCTTCAAATAGGACCGAATTTCTCATTTATATGAAAATTGGTCCTTAACCAATTTCCAACAAATTCAAGGGCATCTAACCATGTTTGTACCTCTTTATAGATGCTAGATGCGTCTAGGGATCTTGAAGATGGAGTTTTCCAAATGAAAGTGGGGAATAATGCCAAAGTTGATGCACAGCTGTAGGGATAGTTTGACAATGTTTATTATATTATAGTTCTTAAATGGAATTTGACTCCATCTTCCAAATTGCTTGAATGATCTATTTCTATTTCTTTTGAGGTTGAAACAGTTTCAATTTTTTGGGAATTATATTTTTATATGTTTTGGTTATGTTGATGACGGTTTATATTTTGCTAAACCTTTGTCTCATAGCTTATTACAAACTGAAATATTATTGTCGTTGACCAATCCCAAAAAGAAGAAAGATTTCTAATAAAGATGACACATACGTGTGGCATTTAAGACTCGTCATATAAACATTGATAGGATAAAAAGACTAACAATTATGGTCCTTTAAGAGAGCTAATAGTTAGCACTCTACCTATCTGCTAATCTTGCCTCGAGGGCAAAATGACTAAAAGACATTTTTCAACAAAATGTGAAAGAGCAAAAACACATTTACAACTCAGACATACATGTGGGCCTGTGAACGTTGAAGCAAGAGGAGCTTATAAATGCTTTATCACATTCATTGACAATTATTCAAGATACAGATATGCATACCTAATGCAAAGAAAATGTAAAACGTTTGAAAAGTTCAAACAATTCCATGCTAAAGCTGAAAAGCAACTCAGCGAATCAATCAAAACTCTTAGATCTAATCGAGGTGGAAAATATATGGATTATGAATTCAAAGATCATTTGATTGAAAATGGAATAATATAAGAGTTCACTGTATTGGGAACACCACAATAAAATGATGTAGCTGAAAGAGGAAATTGCACCTTGCTTGACATGATGAGATCAATTTTAAGTTACCCACCTCATTTTGGGGATATACACACCAAACGACAATATGCATAATAAACTTGGTTCCATCTAAGTTAATCTTGAAGACTCTTTTAGAATTGTGGAACGGTCGCAAGCCTAGTATAAGACATATCCGCATATGGAGATGTCCAATGCATGTGCTAAAGGGAAAGATTTGGGAAGTTGGATCCTCGTTTAGAGGTATGCATTTTTGTGGGCTACCCTAAAGAAACAAGAGTAGGACTATTCTACAGCGCTCAGGATAACAAAGTGTTCGTATCAACAAATGTTACTTCTCTCAAGCATATTTGTATGACAAATTTCAGACCTAGAAGCAAAGTAGTTCTAGAAGAGGTACTGGCTGATGAGATCGACCCCATACCAATGATGAATGATAAAAAGTAGAAACCACCAATGACAATTAAACACCACCACCATAAGCAATGGAAGGAAAATAAGATTATCCACAAAGAGAAGATGAAGCAAATGTTGCAATCACTAATGCTGGTGACGATGATCCATTGACATACAATATGGTAATGGAAGATGTTGATGTGATAAATGGCAAGAAGCCATGAAACTACAAATGGGATCCATGTAAAGTAGAAACTTTAAAGGCATGGCTTGTGGCAAAGGGTTTTACCCAAAGAGAATGAGTAGACTATGAGGATACTTTTTTTTTCCAATAGCAATGCTAAAATCCATTTAAATCTCTTATCCATTACTATTCATTATGGTTAAGAAATATGACAAATGGATGTCAAGATAGTATTTTTAAGCTGTCATCTTAAGGAGACCATACATATGGTCCAATATAAGGTTTCATGGAAAAAGGCCAAGAGCAAAAAGTCTGCAAGCTGCAAAGATCCATTTATGGACTAAAACAAACTTCTAGATTATAGAATATTGGACTTAACGAAACGTAAGGTTTTATTGTTTTTATCAAAATCTAGGTGAACCGTGTATCTATAAACATATGGAAGAACACTACTAGAAATGGGGGGGCTTTAGAGACAGCTCCATTGCTATTAGTAACAGATTATTAATAACTTTTCAACGAAATTGTATAAAATATCTCTGACTGTAAAATAAATATGGTAGCAACGGAATTACTAATAAAATATGGCCGTCATTAAAATTTCATTTTTAATCCATGGGTAATTTTTTCACAAAAAATAAATATAACAAATATAAAAAATTACCAACAAAGATTGTGACGTACTAATTGTTGATTATAAAATTTAAAAACATGAAACATTAATTGAAATTTACCTACAGATTTTTCGTTGTTAATGCACTACATATCTGTTTGTAATAAATGTAAAATATTTCCTACAACTTTTTTTTGTTAGTAAATGAGTTAGAAATAAAAATAAATCAAAATCAAATATGAAATTAGGGCAGCCAGAACCCGTGGCTCATCACACTCCTCTCTTGCTCTACATTTCTTCCAGGCTCATATCGTCTCTGTCTCTCGAAATACTGGGCATCGCCTATACCGGCCTTCAATTGATTGATACATCATTAATTTTTCGGAATCTTCTTCATCATTGCTCCGAGGTAGGTTGTATAAGATTTTACTCTTTTAGAATTTTTTCTTCTCCATTATTTTAATTGCTACCATTGTTGCTATTTTCCAGAAAGTTGTATTGGGGATTTCATTAGACTGCATTTGGCTGAAATTTTTGCGAGTTTTGTGCTGAAGGGAAGAAGACTGAAACTTGGGTGTTGGGCGAACTTATATTTAGGTAAATCATAATCCGTTATAATTCATATTTTTGTTGATAATTAGTATCATATTTCGATTTTAAGTTAGGATTACTAGGTTATGATGCAGTAGTAGCGGAAGATCATGTTTTTATATTTGAGACTAACCTTCAATATTGGAACTTTTAATTAGTAAATGGCAAAATACAACCTTTGAATTAGTGTGTTTGCATTTGTATTGAACGATTAGGTTTTTAGGAGAATTGTTTCGTTTTACTGATGATTTCTTGTTGGTGCTATTTAATAATTTGAGAAATTTTTTATGTGGGTAATAATTGGGAAAAAGAAGAATTAGATCAACCAGATATAGGGAAAAGAAACAACAATGCAAGAAACAAATCAACAAGACCAGAGATAGCGGAAGAAGAAGGCAATGGACTTAACTGATTTTGACTTAAAAAACGGTGTCAGTGGCAACTTATCAAAACGGTGTCATTTTACTTTGATTAATTGTAATCAACTAGAAATATTTTTACATTTTATTAGTTGAAAACAAGTTTCTCACTGGTAGTAGATATAACTCCATGTGCGAAGGAGAAGTCAATTTTTATATAATCTGATCATTTAGGTAAAATTTGTTTATGTTTTCAACAGAATTTCTCTCCCCTTTCTTCTTATTTTTTTTTCCATTTAATCCCTTCCCCATTATACTTTGTCTTTAATTTGTGGAAACATAGCAACTACCCTAGCTGATTTCACTTTGTCCTTGAGCTACGGTTTAAAAGGGTTACAGGTGAAGCTTGGGTTTGAGCTTAAGCCGTGACAAAATTTTACTAGTTTAGTTCCAGATTTACTAAGTTCTGTTATGCTGTTTACTTGTGTAAGTGAATCAAGTTTTTATGCTAATGATATATACATTTAGGTGATTCATTTCTTTGTACAATTTGGAATCAATTGTTGCTGTTTTTATGTTGAACTATTGAGGATTCAAATAATTTAGATTCTTGACTGGAAAGTGTTAATTTGATTTCTTAGAAAGTTGTTAAATATGTAATCATCAATTAAGAATGTAATTATGATTGATCATCGCTTATTAATGGAAATTGTGAATTGAAATAGTTGACTTTTAATTTGAATTGAAATTGTTTGTTGCTAAACTGCTTGTTTAGTTGTCTAAATGATTAAATAAATAAAACTGATTTCAATCGTTTATTTCTAGAAAAGGAGTTAATTGGATTCATTTTGCAGGTTCATTACTTGAACCATGTAATAATTCATGAAAGATATGCAATTATAATTCAATGAATTGTTGTTGAACATTATGGCATCGGACCGCAGTTGGATGCTGAATAGGTCAGATGATGGATTTCTTTTTGTTAAATTCATTGAAGGTGTTGAAGAGTTCATTGAATTTTCCATGTCTCGAACAAGAGATGGAAATATGATTAGATGTCCATGTTCTATATGTAAAAACACAAGGTTTCTCAAAGGAGATGATGTGAAATTTCATCTTTACAAAAATGGATTTACAAGTGGCTATACACAGTGGAATGTGCATGGAGAACCATTCAGTTTCAATGATCCAAATTTGGTTGAATCCTCAACTGCACAAGCTACAACCATGGAGAGCCATGAAGCAATGGTGGTAGATGCAATGGGCCCTGAAATGTACGATGATTACATCAATCCTATTGTTTGTGGTCATGAAGAACAAACCCCAAATCAACATGCCACAAATTTCTTTACACTGTTGGAAGAAGCTAACAAACATGCATGGCCCGGTTGTAGTATGCACACAAACCTTTCTACTATGGCACGACTCTTGAATTTGAAGTCTGAATTTAATATGCGGACAGCATGTTATGATCATATGTTGTCTATAATTAAGGAAATTATGCCAGAAGGTGACCACTTAGAAGCTACATTCTATAAAACAAAGAAAATGTTATCCAGTCTTGGCGTTGGTGTTATGAAGATCCATGCTTGTGTGAATGATTGCATGTTGTACTACAAAGAAATCTAGAGCATGACTCAGTGTCCTATGTATTTTAGTCCACGATACAAAGAGAAGATGTCTCGATTTGGACATAGGGTACCTCAGAAGGTGCTTTGATATCTACCTCTAACTTCTAGGCTTCAGCAATTATATATGTCGAGACATACTGCAGAGCACATATCATGGCATTCGAAGAATCAATTCACTGATAATGAAATGTCACACCCCGTACACAGTGAGGCATGTAAGCACTTTGATAGAACTTTTTCTTAATTTTTCCTTGAATCACGTAATGTGCACCTTGGTTTATGTACGAATGGTTTCAACCCCTTTAGCATGTCAAATGTGCAATACAGATGTTGGCTAGTAATCATTGCTATCTATAATCTTCCACCATGGATGTGCATGCAACAAGACAACTTGTTTTTGTGTATAGTTATCCTAGGACCGAAGACTCCTGGGAAAATCCTTGATGTTTTTTTGCGTCCTCTCATTGATAAACTAAAAATGCTTTGGGATGAAGGTGTTTACACATATGACATAGAAACGAAGCAGAATTTTCAGTTGAAAGCCACATTGATGTGGACTATTAGTGATTTTTTGGGATATGGCATGTTATTCGGATGGAGTACACACGGTCTGAAGTCTTGTCCATACTATATGGGTTGAACTAAGTCTTTCAGGCTTAAAATGGTAGGAAAAAATCTTTTTTTGATTGTCATCGTCAATTCCTATCACCCGACCATGCATTTAGAAAACAAAGAGACAAGTTTTAGAAATGTAGAGTTGAGAAGAATATAGCACAACATAGGCTAACGGTGAAGAGCTGCGAAGTATAGTGGAAAACATCCCAGACATTGCAAGTGGCAAAGCTGATAAGAATAAATACATTGAAGGTTTTGGTCATAGCCATAATTGGATGAGGAGAATCACTTTCTTGGAGTTACCTTATTGGGATAAAAATCTCATAAGACACAATTTAGATGTGATGCACATTGAGAAGAATGTATTCAAAAATATATTCATCACAATTATGGATATAAAAGGAAAAACTAAAGACAACATTAAGGCTAGGAAGGATTTGGAGCTCTATTGTAATCATCCAGAGCTTCATATATATGAAGATGAAAGGGAAAAACTATTCATGCCAAAGGCCTCCTACAGCTTGACTAATGTACAAAAATGAGAAGTACGCAACTGGATTGGGAATTTAAGAATGTCTGACGGTTATGTATCAAATATTTCACGTTGTGTTAAGGGTGATTGTAAGTTCTATGGAATGAAGAGCCATGATTGTCATATTTTTATGCAAAGATTGCTGTCGATTGCATTTAAAGACTTGTTGCCCAAACCAATTTGGGAAGCTTTAACTGAACTTAGTCCTGTGCAGTATCGTTGGATGTATCCTTTTGAGAGAGAACACATGCTTGTATATTTAATTTAACTTTTGTAGTCTAAATGATATTCATTTTGTGTATCACAGGTTCCTATGACACTCAAAAAAGAAAGTGAAAATCGGGCTCATGTTGAGGCATCTATCATAGAGGCATACTTAGTAGAGGAAATGTCAATTTTTTGCTCTCTATATTTTGATCAAAGTATTCAAACAAGATTGAATCGTATGCTGAGGAACGATGATGGAGGTCATATTGATTCCTAAGGGAGACTATCCCACCCTGGACAACCCTTTGGCATTCAACGTCATAATAGCAGATTAATGACGAATGAGGAATTCAGAGTAGCGTCAATGTATGTTCTCTTCAATTGTGAGGAAGTAACTCCTTTTAAGCGTAAGTTGTTATAATTACATTTATTATATATATTAAATTGTATGCTTGATTAGCTGCATTTACAATTTATCATGGCACATGTAGGATGTCTGATAAATATATGAGAATGTTGCATCCCCAAATGTCTGATGCACAACTTGATGGTTCACGGGAAGAAAATTTTTCGTGTTGTTTAAAGGAATATGTAAGTGTTGTAATTAATGTCTCAATTAACCCGGAAAAGTATTTTGTAAAATGAGTTGTAATACGTATTGTTTCTTTTTGTTCAGGTTTGAATGATCATAATGAAGTTGATAATCGCATAAAGGCATTGGTTATGGGTCCCTCTCGTAGAGTGAATTGTTATAATGGATATTTTGTCAATGGTTTTAAGTTTTACACTTAAGATTATGGTTCCCACAAAACAACAATGAATATTGGAGTGTTGGTATTAGGGAGTTGTCATAATGACTATGAGTGTGACTACTATGGTATGTTAATTGAAATATTGGAATAGGATTAATTAGGAGATGTTCGAAACAAGGTAACCTTATTCAAGCGTGATTGGTTTGACATCAATGGTGGCGTTAGAGTCCATCGATGATTTGGTCTTGTTGAACTTAATCATAAGAAGAAATTACAAACAAATGATGTGTTTATACTTGCTCAACAAGCTCTACAAGTATAATACACTTGTTTTTCAACGAAGGCTAGAGATAGACTTGATTGGTGGGCGGTTGTGAAAAAAAAAGGAAGAAATGTTCCCAACATACAAGGAATCATATCGGAGAATGAAGAGTGCAATATGTGGGTGGAACTTGCATTCCAAGAGGATCAACAACCATCGACCTAGAAACCTGTTTGAATAAATTCAGAATTTGAAAGCCAAAATTTAATTCGTAATTGATATTAGAGCTGGAGAAGTGGATGTGGCTAAATCTAGGATCTTTGATGTAGATTCTGAAAGGCATGCTGTAGAAGAAAACACACAACTATAGGACACTGACAATAGTGATGGTTTCACAAGTGTAAGTGAAGGCTAAAGAAAATAGTACTACTGTTAATCTTTTCATTTTTAGTTCATGTTTTTAGTTTATTGTTCTTGTCGTTGCTAATATTTTGCATGTTTATGGAGAAGGGAGTAATGGCTAGGCTAGACAAGAAGCTAGGTGATGTTTTGGTTCAAGAGATAGGATGCTGGTGTATGCAAACTCAACTTCTAGTAAATGTACCCCTTCTTAATTTGGTAGGTGGGGTTTATATATCTATGTTCAACATATTTAACCCTTAACATCTGTTGGATGAGATTGAATTTTTTTTATATTTTTGTTTCATTTCAATCTGAAATGTATTGAGTGCTGCTTAGAACTCATGTTGGACACACTTTGTTCTATTGGACGCGTCTTTTATTGTATTGGACAATCTTGTATTGTATTTGAAAGCTCTTTTTTTGGAAGTTCTAGTTTTATTTCTTTAGTTCTATTTCTATGTTATTGGTTTTAAATTCTAGAAACTATCTGTGAAGTGGTTAGATTTTCATGTTCTAATCATTCAGAAACTGATTGTGATATAATAGTACCAAGTTTATTAATAACATCAGTATGCCAACCCTTAATAGCAGCACCAAAAATTTATCTCATAATTTTCCAAAAAAATACTATTTTGGACTAATTTAGGCTTGCCCGATGTACCTATTAAGCCGAGGTAAATTTTCGGGATCATTGCATGTTGGAGATTGGTTTTTAGTATGTCACATATTGACTCGTTATGCTTGGCCATATATCACCAACTTTGGGCTTTAGCGGTAACTTTCTTCATACTCTCAACAAGTTCCCGAACCACTCGAGTTATGCTTTCGAACTCAAGGTTTTTCTCCCGCAACTTCTTCCCGACTCGATTCTCTAGAGCAATCAACAAAGAAGTCGTGTGTCTCTGCTTTATGTCATTTACCCCTTTTGTCGTATGTTATTCCTGTTTAAAAGAAATTGAAATTAGTGGGCAGAAAATCAGGATACCACAAGTAGTAAGAAAAAACTGAGGAAGGCAAGCTAATCACTGAAGGATATTACATTAGTTTGGTAATTGGGTTCATATTCGAACTTTTGGGAGTAATCGGAACGTTACTGCTCAATCAGTCATGACGTTTACATAATTCAAGTTCTGGAATATAAAGTAGACTGATTTTATGTGAAGATAGACATATGTTATAATAGTATTTAACAAAATTCTGTTTCCTTGTCTTTGTCAACTTCTAGTTTGCCAATTGATGGTGAAGTATGATAATTTTGTGCCTAATTGTAGAGAAGTTGCTATACAGATTTAGGGCCAAATAACTCACTTGAACATATTTCAATAATGACCTACGATGCAATTAATTCAACAAATCTAGAAATGAAAAATCTGAAAATAACGACCATTAGCTTATAGAGGAAATAAGACACTTCAAATGAAGTGAATGCTATAAGTTTCTTGAAATACCCCCAAAATAAAGATAGATGCAACTACTTAGGCCCCCAAATTCTTTTTTATTTCCTTCCACGCTCATCTAGTGTTGTCAAATATGTCATTTTCCTTCCAGGCTCGTCCGGCGTTATTTAAATAATGTCATGTTCTCATTTATTCGTTCATAAAAACAAATCACATTCTAAAAATGTAATTTGATGTGCAATTATAATTTAGGGATAATCAAAGTTTAGCCAAACATTCCCTCAAGGCTTAAAGAATTGGGAATTGAACTTAAACAAAATGTTTCATTGATGCTCAAGGAACTGGGAATTGACATTTTCCTTGAATTCTTTTTAGCTTTCACCTCATCATTCGTGATTTATAACATCTTAATCCAAAGCAAGTTTAGAAAGTTTACAATTCAATCCTCAAAATTTTCAATTGTCAACTTTATTGGATCTCAAGATAGTTCTCCAATATTTCTTCCAATTAATTGATTGCAATCCAAATGATCTTCAAATGTCCTAAATAATTAATTAATGAAGCTCGAAACTGTGTTATCCATATTGAATAGTTTTAGGTCAATTTTAAGTGCAATAGACCGAACAAGCACTGATCATAAAAGCTACTTTTCTCTATGACAATTTCAAAGATAAGAAAGGTAGGACTAGTGGAGCAACTTCATCAAGGATTCAACCGCACAAATTGAAAGGGAAAATTATTTATATATTTTAATAAGAAGTCAATTTTAAATATATATTTAAGATGAAGCTTTATAAAAAGTGTAATGAACTACAAGGAAAGAACTAGGCTCTGTTTGAGCCCCATTCATTTCTTGTAATGTATTGTGAAATAGTAAATTGATGGAAAATATATGGTTAAAAAAATATTTT